GCGTAAAAAGCCAATAACTTTCAAACCAAGACAGCTAGAGCTCTGAAACTTTCCGACTTTTCCTAAAATTTATCTGTGCAGATTTTGATGTAAATGTTTTGTTGATAACGTCATCCATGTCGCCATGGCAACCAGTTTTTAACACATAGGTTTTCAAAAATGTAAAATATGCTTAATTTTTCATTTTTAAAGCTTATTTCTTGTTTTATTATGCATCTTTTACCTATTTGAGCTTGCACGCATTGCTGACTCTACAATACCATAATACTTTTTCGACAACAAAAGCTTTGGGAGGGGTGGGTAGTTTTCTGTCATTTTTTCACATCGGAGAAAATTTCATTAAAATCATCAGTAGCACTTCGAAACGCACTTTTTTATTCATAAAATGTTAGTTTGAGAAGTATTTAAGACATTTTGAGTTGTTTGCCTCAATGCTTAGTTTTTTAATGCCATTTTAGAAAATTCAAGATGGCGGTCCACGATGGCGGATATTCTTCTCAAAATTGCTTGTTCCAAATTGCTTAACTTCAAAAACTTCTCAAATTGTAAATTTTACCATAAAAAAAAACGATTTAGGCAAAAAAAGTGAGATTTGGAGTCAAATTATTCAAAGACGACAAAGACACTATAGGAAATGACGTCATCACAATTATGACGTCACAACTGTTATCATGGATACAAAACGAACCACAACATCACAGGAGAGCAATAACGCCTAAATATGATATTTAACTGGTTATCTAGATATAGATATGTAATTTATAAAAATTACCTGATATCTATGACGTCATTGTGACGTCATATAGAACAGGGGTCAATTAAAAAATACAAAAATATTATTTTCAATTCATTTCAATAATAAACAGATGATATTGCAGCATTTGCTATGGAATTGTAGGTAATTTATTAGAATGAATTATAAATCGTTAAAATCGTTAAAATGACGTCATTATGACGTCACATTTGGTTCCCAGGGGTCAAGATTGGGTGTGGTGTTCCGTTTTACGTGGGCGACCATTGTGTGAAAATTTCATGCTCATAGACGTATTGGTTCCGAAGATATTGAATCACTGAATGAATCAAGATTTTAATTTAAAAAAATTCCAACTCATGAGACCTTCTAACCACAGACAATTGTGCACCCTTAACCTCGAGATCAAGTATATATCCAGCAGAGATCCTATTGTAATGTAAGCACTATGTGTACAAAGAAAACAATAAACATTTATGCTTGATCGAGCTAAACTAAGGTAAACTTGCACAAAAGAGAATTCGAAACTGGAGTAAAAAATGCAATGAATACACTATCCAATAATATTCTCGACCAATTTTAGGCGGGCCGCCTGTCAGAAGTTCTTTATAACATCAATATCAGAGAACTGGACGAAAAGAGTGAGCTTGAGGTTAGTGTCGTATTATTGACCTGGTTTTAAACTGGTTTTGCTTAAAAACTCAATTCTAACCAATTAAAAGGTAGCTAAAGGTTTCTTATTTTCTCTTATATTTCTTTCTTGATACAGCTGATGTTACTATTGTCAAACGTGAACTTTAACTACGCAAGTTTAACCGTTGGTGGCCTGGTTACTATTACCAAAGAGATCATTTTAACGGTAATTATTTGTAAAACTCATCTAATGAAGTTTTGTATCAAGATAGCAAACTCGAACCCACTTCAATTTATGTGCGTCACAAACTAATACTCCTCTCTTTGATCTGTTTGTAGGTATTTGGAACAATTGTAGGATACCTTACAATTCTCATACAATT